TTTTTCAGACACGTAAACTCTTCAAAAATCACCAGTGGGGTCACTGCTGATGCATTTAATGTCGTAGAACAAAACGTGATCTGTCTCTTCAATGTGTGTCAACCACAGACCTTATTTCGAGCTATTTTCCAAATTCCTATGGAGAAATTGCATTGCTTTTTGGCGAAGGAACCGGAAGTGGTAAAATGCTAACTTACTTCCGGGTTTTAGGACGCGTCAATGTGGCACTCTATACCATGCCACCAGTCTTTCTTGCGCAAGCGAGCTTTACTTTTAACAAATTGTAGCAATTTAGTCCTTGTTAGCTAAAGCAACACAAATGTAAAGTAATTCCTAATCAGGCTAGCTGTTTCTGTAAATAAATACAGCATATAACTAACTTAACCATTGTTTAACTTACCAAGATTGCTGGTAAGTGCTACTCACCCAGCTGACTAACTTGCTAGTACGTGTGGTCAGTTCACCCATTTAAGAGCTAGTGTTAGCATTGTTGGCTAGCTTCTAGTAACAACAGAAAAAGAGTTGCATTTCACAGAGTTGTGTCACCTCTTAGAAATTACATGAAATGCTGTCAAATGTAATATTTAGTTGAACAGCTAGCTGTTGCTGCTGCTAACACTAGCTCAGATATAACCATGTTTACAATGAAACCTAGCTAGTTAGCCAGCTAAAAAGGTTGCATGTTCTAATCTAAGTTATGTGTCTGTGGGCTAATTGCTAAAAAAGAAGCTAACTACATAATTTTGGATACATGTTGATTTTATTTGGCTCACTGTGATTGACAGATAAAATAGGTGGCCAAATATTTGGAATGCACCTACGGCCTGCTTGTAAAGTTGCTACATTACTATAAATTACGTTACGTTTAAATTTGTATATTTTATGATGTCATCATGCAACTATTTACATACACCATATTGTATAAAAAACAAAAAAATTAAATAATGAAGACAAGTCTATCTTAACTGACTCTAATTACCTTTATCTTTATCTATTTTTAAAGTGCAAACTATCTCATCAATAAGCATTTAAATCATTTTGATTACAAATCTTTCTATGAAGGCTGATTTAATGACTATGGAACTGAAGAGACATCACTATCCATATTAAACTCAACATTAAAACAGAAGGGGACAGTAAGATAATCATATAATCAAATACAATTTAGATTTTGGTAATGACTATGCACTGTGCAAATGTGTTCCCTTAGCCTCTTACCTGTGTGTGTTCGGTTGTGTCTCTCCAGCTGGCTGCGCTTGGCGAAGGCCTTCACGCAGGAAGAGCAGTTAAAGACTCTGGGTTTCTGGGAGCTGGGTGAGGGGCCCGGCTGGTGCACTCGTTCATGTTCCTGTAGACAGATCCAAAAATTAATTTCACAGTTTACAGTCTGGCACACAAAGTCCTTCTACTGCATAGGATAGAACAGAGATGTTTTCCTGGCAGAAAATCACAGGTTCTTTGAACCACACAGACAGATTGTGGAGGGTCTGGACGCAATCATTCCTAAAGAGACATTGAATTGACTACCTTTATTTTTTTTCTGTCGTGTTTCCTAATGGTTTCAGGCTTCAGATTGTAATTGTTGGGATACCTAGCAAATCTTTGTGGATCAAGAGGTCAGAACAGGTAAAACTGCTATACACTTTGGTACTGTGTTGTAAAACTAAAATGGTTATTTGATTAGTTGTTCAGCAGAAATTAACTATATTGACACTTGAATTTAATTGAACAAGCGAAACAGCAAATATTTGCCAGACCCAGCATCTAAAAAATACAAGCAATGATGCTTATTTCAGCCATGTATGATAGGTAACTTAATATATTTGATGTTTTGGACAATTGGACATTACAATGTGTTTTCATTTTCTGAAATGTTATGCACAAAAAAACGGATTCATATAATTGGCAGATCAGTAGTTTTTGAGACTGATACATACTACCGGTACATAAAAAAACTGGCATTGGCACTGCCTTCTAAGAGTTACATTAAGAAAATACCAGGTCTAAACCTATTAATGGTAATTTTTTCTCAAGGACTATAAAAAACTGAGAATCCGGCAGTAGTTGTTTAGACCCTCGGAACGGTCTTTCAGTGAATAAACTGATCCTATTCAATCGGAGAATTATTCAGAAAAAATAATACCTTGGTTCACACTGAATTATGAAATTCATGAAGGACTGAAAGACAAGAGACATTCCCAGAATATTTATGTTAAGACTGAACCGCAGCATTGATCTGTATTCAGGACATATACTTTGCAACACAAAGCATCCGTAAATTGGAAATATGGCAAGTTTATGAGGAGATAAGAAAGTCTAGCAGAAGAGGGGCTCATTACAGAGGGGTGTTTATTAAAAGTGCCCCAGGTTAGTTCAGGAAAAACATTAGGACAAAAAGAAAAAAGAGAAGTTTCTATTGCAAAGTAAGGCTAATCCTCATTCCTCATGCTCACAGAAAATTGGTATTTCAGGGTCATAGACTGAATAAAACAAGCTTTGCCATTGATTTGTGGATTATGGCTTTGAACCTGTCTATCACCTGCAGCATACCCTGCTCTATCGTCTATTTCACTCTAAATGGGAAAATAATTTACAAAAAAAAAATTCTGTATAGAAGATGACTTCATATCATAATGTTATTGGGAAAACCTTTTTCAAAGTAATACATAGAGTGGGAAGTAGGGTGATTTTCTTCATTGGCTTCTATCAAATCGGATTTCTTTGCAACCAGCGTCGCCGCCCCATGCTGGCAATTAGATGAGTTGTGGAAGAGGTTGCTTTTTGGTCAAGTAGTCATTTTAAAGCAATACTTCAACAATTGATGCACTTTATATTGCTTTCCTGGACAAAAATAATTGAGAGGAGGAAAACAACCTGTCTGTAAACATAAAGCTAAAGCAGCCGCTGTATAGCTTAGCATAAACCACAGAGCAAGCCAGGATAGCCCACTGCTTCAAGTTTTATGCTATAATACTCTTCTCATCTCATCAAGAAAAAGTTTCAAAATGTTAAACTATTCCTTTAAAACGTAAAATGGAATATACAAAAGTTTCATACCTAAAAGAAACTGTACATGTCATCGACAAATAAGAAAGATAGTATTTTTAAGTTACTAATTAATTGTGAAAGTCTCCTTACTTTACATGATGTTATTTCTCAAAGTAGCTGATGGCCCAACCCTCCATTTATCTGGCTGTGAAGGCTGTATGGGGGAAATAATACATTTTCCAGTCTACTGATTCTCCCAACCGATCTAGTGATGGGCCTGCAGTCAATTATAAAACTGTTCTCAAAATGATAAAGCCAGAATTTTGGGTTGTTTGGCTATAATTAAATGGCTAATTGTTATACACGGACCAACAAATGTAAAATAACAGCACTACCATTTTGGCTTTCTCACCACTGGACTTTTATAAAAAGCCAAATTCAGCATCTGAGTTCTTATTGAGACTAATGAGCAGCCTGGGGATCTGGAGAGGATAGAGCTTGGTCAATCTCACTCTGACACCCACATAATGTCTGTGTCATTACTTTCAGAAAAGACAATTACTGTTCAGTATGCAGAGGCACATTTACAGAAGTGAAAGCCTTAGGCTCAATGGCCTTTAGTTAGAAATATGACATATGGTAGGAAAAAGGCTTGTGAAAGAAGTCCCATCCTCTTTCTCCCTTTTTCCTCCTGATCTGAGAGCGCCGTCATTTATGTGCATGAGTGTCTCAAACACAGATGCAAGAGGATCGTCAGAAAAGAGAAGCACACATGCTCCTCTTCCTAATTCCGCTGCTAAGCACCTCTCAGTTTAAGTGTTTTGTCTTGACATTGAGAGTGGAAGACTATCTGAAATGCTACTCAACAAATAACTCTTTTTTTTCCCCTTCATATTGTGAGATAGCACTCATTTTCCAGCCTGAAACGGAAGCGCTGACTAACATTCAAAGGTGATTTCCCCACCAATGAAATCTGGAGTTGTATTTATTCATACAAAAATCTGAAATATTGAATAAGTAGCGACTATCATTTAGACATACAAATTGTTTTTACCTTCAGGTGCGTAGCTCGCTTGAAGGCCTTGTTACAGAGAGTGCAGACGTGACAGCGGTCCTTGCCGTGAGCTTGTCTGCAGTGCCGTCGCAGTGTGTTGGCATTCTGGAAAGCCTCATTGCAGTAGTAACACTGGTTCCGAGTATCAGCCTCCATCTGGCCATCCTTTCCACCCTTATGGCCCTCGTCAGTAATCTGGATCAACGCACAAAGATTAGTGAATAACATATTTACAATTACTCTGAAAACTCACTACTACACAAGCATTGTGAAAGTATCTATTAGCATTTTACTTTTTTTAAGAGAGTACCTCTCTTCTCAGACTCCAGGCTCCTTTGACAAAAACTGATGTTATCATGCAGAACATAGGAGCTGCTGGTCTACTGCTGCCTTAGTCTGTTTGTGGTATCGTGTGACTTTGGTGTTTCAAAGGGTACAGACTCAAAGTCACCAAAGTCACACAGTAACACAAACAAATAAACAATTGATGTAGCAGTAGACCAGATACTTCTGACTGTTTTCTTTAGCAGGAGGGGGCTTTGAAAAGAGCATAGATGGATTTAACTGCTTCAGTTCCCTCTCTGAAAGGTTAAGAGGCCAACCTATTTCAAATATAGTGTACACTAAAATAATAATAATAATTTTGTTAGGTGTCCGATCCACTGACTGCAGATAAGTATCTCATACCAACTATCCCTTTTACAATCTTAAACTAATGGTGCATACTTCACTTGGAAAGTTTGTGGGATTGATTAATGTGTTTTTTATATCTTCGAAGCAGCCCCTGATTAAGTAGGTAATAACAATCAACTGGTAGAAACTTGCATAAGATAGTGATCCATCATAGTAGATTATCGTGTTGCCCTTTTAAGCATTTGCTCAATTCATCTACCTACTTCCAACTTAGTTTGACCGTTTCTCCCTGGGTAGCAAACTACACAAAAGACAAACACACTCACATTGTATCCATTGTCAGATGCTCCGTTTGTGGATTGGGAATGGTGGCTGACCAGTATAACCTGCTGGCCTGAGCTGGTTGGCTGTCCTGGGTCATTCAGCACTGCAGGAAAGGTCTGACCCTAAAGCTCAAAAGGTATTCTAGTAAGGCAGCTGACAAACTACATGATGAAAGTTTGGTGATGACACATTAGTGTTGTGCATTGTTCATGTGTCCACATTTACCTGCGTATTAAGGTTTAGAGTGACACCTTCCAGCATACCCTGAGCATCTGCCAGGGTCAGGGTAACGCTGTCATCACCTGCCACGCCTCCTGGTGACATCACTAGGCTCTGGGACACAGCACTATGCGATAGGGTGGTGCTACATGGCAGGCTAGAGACTGATGAGTGAGAGATAGACAGCATAATTAGAGTTCAAAGACAGAACAGTGGGTGTGTTTTTGAATGTGAAGCAGCAGCACATCAGTTTAATTATTCCAATAACTGTTGGTAGTACATTGTATTTGTTGAAGCCAGCTGGGTACCAAAACCCTTAGCTAACTGACTGAAAATAATTTCACACAATTTTGAGCCAGGGAGGAAGTTGTGCCAGGGAGGCAGTTACCGGTGAATACATCTAGTTGATATTGGATTTTATAGGAAGGCCACTATGTGCCCCATATACAGTTTATCAGTCAGAGCAAAGGCTGAACTCCATTAACATACAGAGTGACTGGAATGCTCGAGTCTAATCAACAAAAGCAGAGATGCTCTCTGTGTCTCTGCGGAGCGGTGAGAAAATGTTCCACTTGAGTTGAGAGGGGAGGGTAATGAAGAGGTATGAGGGACCAGACATTTTATTAAGCTTCCAGGTGAGAACAGCAAACCAGTAAACAGAACAATCAGGAGGCCATCTCTGAGAAAACAAATCATATTCACTCACTTCACACAATCGCTTTACTTTCACACATTGGTTTGCAACATTTTTAAGTGACTATTATTCACATATAGTTTTCAAACTCTGAATGCCTAGACATTATACCTATATTTTTACTTCATCATACTAGTTTTATAGCACTAAAATTATGCATGCAACAAAGATTATGGTCCAAATAAAAAATCAGGGTGTGTTGTTTATAGGCTTCTATGCCCACAGCAAGTCATTCATTATCTTCCATCTGTCGTTCCATTCTTTCCTAGAAAATGTGGCTTAATCCTCTGTCATTTTATATTTGTGTTATGTATGTAGCCACAACATATACTACAGTGTTCAAATACAAAAACACAATACATTATTAACTAGAGAGGTTAGCTAACTTAATTGTTAGTGTCAATTAGTTAGCTTGCCAACACTGGTGCTGGTCAAAAGTAGGGCGTTTGGCTGACAAAATCGACGCTTGCCAGCTAGAAATAAGAGGACTTTTTGTCTCGCTACTGTGATAACTAATATACCCAGAAATGGTATGAAAATGAATACGAATTTCGAGTGGTAAATGTACCACAATTGTATACAGCTGTTGTGTACAAGTTAGAAAGTGGTTGTGACATTTCTGTGAAATTTGCGGTCCAGGACGAGCCTTACTGAACATTGAATAACCTGAAGTTATTTCAGCTTCTGACACACACTTTGATGACTCCACCATGGGAGGTCACGCCATGCCATTTCATCAAAAGGGCATTAATCTGGAGACTGTTTGAGCTTCTCCATCAATGTTTTAGTATTATTCTGGGATCTATCACTAGTGCTGGAGGCAAGAGAAGCTCATTTTGAACCTGAGGACTTAGACTATTCATGCTCCTATTCAGTGGTCATATGATTCTGTGATCTCTACTCTTCACCTGTAATATCTGACAGACAGAAAAGACTTGTGCTGAATTAGATATATAAGGTTAGCAGTACTTGGGATATTGCAATCCATTGTTTTTTTTTCAATCCAGCAAGATTGGACTGGAGACTGGGGGCGATTGCAATAGGGGTAAATACACAACGATGTCTTCTCACTGGGGTACAATTTAACCATTTCTGCTCAAGTGGCTTATCTTGGTGATATTTGCACAACATCTAGCAGGGAATCTCCTATTTTGTTGCCATGTTTCTGACTTAAAAGGGTGTCCCTGAGTCAAGTGGTGTTATGAGAGAGTAGAGCAGGTCACTAACGATCGCTTGAAGCAGGTCAAAGATGGATTTGTGGGCATTTATAAAACTCAAAGTGGACTAAAAGAGATTGGTTTCTTTGTAGCAATGGAAGGCATATCAAACACATTTTTGCCTTCAGGAGATGAAGTATACTATTTGAAGGGAAGGGATGCCATCAGATGGTAATCAAATTAAATAACTTAATTCATTAATATACCCCTGGGACGAAGCAAAATTCTTCAGGTAGTGGCAGGCATATTTCACTCCTGATTCATCATAAGGGAGATGGTGTTGCACATTGTTTTAAAAATTCAAGCACAGAAACTAACCCCAAAACTGGCCAACCCTATATCAGCTTCTATCATCCCATCAAAATGTTTATTATTATTATATTAATGCATTTGCAGGGTACAAAACTCCTTAACAGCAATCAATGTACATTGTCACTATCTTTATTTAATCATTTGTTCATTTTAACTTTGACAATACGCTCACGGAAGTAGCTATTGTTTGTTTCCTTGTGTGTATGTAATTGCAATGGAAAAATAATACAAGCAACAGCATAGAAGGGATGGTGCATTGGTGCATGGTTGACAGTGGATTCCAAGATAGGGACAAAAGGGAAGAAAACAATAAAAAAGCAAGTCTGTTACAATTTTACTGAAGGTTTTGATAAAAAAAAGCCTTACCAATTTGTGTGTTATTGGAAGCCTACCAGTCCTGTTAGCGCCAGCAACTTATGTTACCATTGAAACCTACTATCAGAAAATGAAGTCCTTTGATACACTGACTAATTAACTAAGTTGAGATGTAGTTACACCTAATTACACGACAAACATGTAGAGGTCCTAACCTGCCATTCCAGAGTTGGCGGGGATCTGAGGTAGGAGGTGTTCATTGATGATAGTCAGGGTTGCGCTGTTGGGCTGGCTGCTGAGTGGTGATGAGAGCCTGATGCTGCCGTTCATCTCCACTCCATTAGAGTGGCTGTGCTGGGGGAGCAGATCCTGGCCTGCATAAATACGTAGAAGAAAATGTTTTAGTATTTTTTTCTTATATCAGGTTAGGATAGGATGTGGATGTTTTACAGTACATTTGTGGAAGAAGATTATTGTGGTTAAGTATAGTTTTTATAGATGATAAAAAAAACAGACATTCCTAATACAGAGGTAAAAGCACATGAAACATTTTGTGTTTTTTCAGCACATAAAAGGCAGTGGGGAAAAGAAGATCACAATGCATGGGTTATGCATTGTGATCTTCTTTTCCACTGCCTCTATGTGCTGAAAAAACACTCCCCTCCTTGTTTTCATACAGGAAAAGAAAAAGGAAGGGAGAAAAAATTATGCTATATATAACAATGCTTTGCTATCTCCTTAATCTTTGAACCCAATCCAGTAAATATATCAGAATGCTGAATGATACACAATCCAAGTAATAACTGAGAAGAAATACTCGGACTCTGGAGAGGTTCAGAAAAAAATGTACAGCCACAACTAATCTCAACGCTGTGGATACAATGTACTGTATATCCTCGGCTGATTTGTACTAGAGATGATGTACGGGAAGAAATTGGTTTGTGAGGAGCCTTTATTGCTCATAACCCCGAACAACATTGTTGCTTTTAATCTGATCTGGGAAGCTGCTTCAAAATGAATCTATCGCCTGTGAGTTATTATTGCGCCTGCTTTATGTCTCTCCTGCGTGAGTGAGGAAATCAATAAATGTATTACACCTCAAAGGGATTTCTATCTCATCTGTTGGTTGTTTCTGCACTAAAGCTTACTGAACACAGAATGTTTTTTTACTATACCTGATATGGTGAGCGTGATCTCCTGAGGGTTTCCTGCTGCATTGCTGGAGCTGGAAGCTGAAGCGTGGGCATGAACCTGTGCCAGGGCTTGAGACAGGCTGGAGTTGTTGATGGTCAGCATGATCTCCTGACCGCCGGGGCCTCCGGATACCAGCCCCGAGCTGCTTATGACATGGCTAAGGTCCTGAGAACCTGTAGAAACCATAACAAGGTCAGTTATACAGGTCCTAACAGAGAGCTTCTTGTTCTGTTTCGAAGCTGCCAAACAAACCTGTAGCATCATGCTCAGAGAGGCTGGCCTGTGTGAGGGTGGAGGGCTGCAGGGCCAGGCTGGTCAGTGGGTGGAGGACCACATTGGCAGACACCGAGGGGTCGGAGGTGGACATGAGCTGGCTGCCAGAGTGGGAGATGAGGCTTGCGTCAACACTCAAGGGTTGAGAGAGGAGACCGCCTTGTTGAAAGGTCTGCTGCAGGAGGGCATGGTCAATCTGAAATAGAAAGTATTACTTTAGATCAGATGCAAAGAGAACAGAGTAGCATGTAGAAATGTATATCAAACAGACACAGCGAAAACACAAGAGGGTTTCTTTTTGAAAACTGTTTCGGGGTTATTAAGGTAAGTTAAGTTTCCTCCCTTTGATAGTTTTTCACAACTTTAATCTGTGATCTGAAACATACTCCAAGAATGAAGATGAAAATGTGCAATAAAATGATTAGCCTGCATACTTCTTCTGACCCCTCCTATGCATATATATTTTTAGGGGGGGTACTTTGAATCTTTTCTAGGTTGGATGTTTGTATGGAAGGCAAGTGAGAAAAACTAAATTCTCTTCCTCTGGAAAAAAGTTGAAAACATTAAAAAAAAATTGTAGTTGTGTGTAGTGTTGTTTAATACTCAATTTGCCCGTTAAGTGCACCACTACTCTGTGTTCTAAATAGTACCCAACAATCTCAAGTACTGCCAATGTTAGATTGCTTGCTAAAGACAGTATGTGTACTTTGTATTATAAAGGACATAATATGTTGATTTTGAGTTTCATATTTGTATGTTGTGCCTCTACTGTGACATGTCTCCCTGCTTTAATGTTTAAAAACATCTTTATTTTTCTCATACTGCCTGTACTGCAGCACCTCTTTTCACCCTCTGTCTGAAAACAGAACCCAGTCTGCTCTGATTGGTTAACTGGCAGGCTCTGTTGTGATTGGTCAACCGCTCAGAGAGGTCCTGCCCATTAGCCTATTATGAGCGTTGTGTTGGAGCGCTAGCCAATAGAAGGGTGAGTGTTACATATTGATGTCACGATGTTACAGAAGTAAACAAAGGAGTCCTATGGAGGCTTTTCAGGCAGACGGGGGGGACGGGGGGACGGGGAGTGTGTGGGGGAACTCCCTCTGGAGGGAACTTTCGGATGTTAGCCTTTGCAGACCATTTACATACACAAAACCTATATGACACACGACAGAAAAGTATAAATGGGGCCCTTTAAGGCATGAGGGTAGAATTGTTGCAGATTTAGAGAATTAACCACCATTTTCCCCCCCTTGCCTCAAGTTTCTGAGAGAAAAAAAACGTTGTTTCACCATTTAGATGGAGCCCATGAGAAAAAACACTATCTGACACAGAATCCAATATCAACATTCAGCTAGCCATAAAAAACTAATTGGATTGGAACCCTAGTGTGCACATCAGGTGTGTCAATACTACATTTTGTATTACTTTTACAGCCAAATGGACAACTCATCATGGGCTTTACATGTATGTAAAGAAGCTCTGCTGAATCTTATTTGGTGCTCATTTGGGATTGCAGGATCCTACGCTAGATTGCTTATACCCTCACTATCACCTTTATGGACCTCTAGAATGGTGAAGCTAAGCCCTGGACAAACCATCATTAGCAAATACATTATATTGCAAACCAGCTGCAGAAAAAAGCAATATCATTGCTGTCTACGTTTAGTGAATACATTCCCACACAAAACAAACACTGTTGGTAAAGACTAATTAATTAGTCAATGTCGATAAGGGTGGTTTGACATGTCTAATTGTGTAATGAAATGAACAAATACAAAAAATTATAGCTGATGAATAAACACATCCAAAAACCATTTTTGCAAACACTAGATAATTAATTAAATGGTTGGTAAAAAATTATATGAGTAAGTCGACTGCTAAAATTGTGCTCAGCTCATTTAAAGGAAATTAAGAAAAGGCAAGGTTTAAAAGCCTGCCGATGTTACTGGGGGAATAAGCCACAGACTTTACAATACAACTGATGTAGAAGGCGTATAATTAAAAGTAGTTTAGCACTCAAAATGAAATCACGCAGTAAATTCCATTTTGATTAATTAAAAACTAAAGTAAGAATAATGAGGCAGGGTGTGTCCATAGAATATCAATGTACTTAAAACGTTTCTGACCTATAAAGTGTTTCTTTATAAATATTATGTAACTATTAACCATTACACAATTTATTTTTGGTTCATAAAAGCATGTATTTTAGAAACATTCTATGACAAGGAGGCTACTACTCGTAGTTGCTCCTCTGAGATATTTGATTCCCCTCAATAGGAAATAACTGCAGAGTAAAATGTTCTCAATCAAAATTAATGTGTAAGATCTTCCTAAGCATCAAGGGGATGACCCACATGGAAGATTACATATTGTATTCAGTAGTATTTGTGTGTAACCTGTAGTGTGATGTTGTTGATGTTGCTGGCGTCGAGGCCAGAGATCTGCACGTTGGGGCACACCAGGTTGGCAGGCGTCAGCTGCAGGTGGATGCCATCCAGCGTGGTGAGGCCATCTGGCAGGGACACCGTCAGGTCTCCTGCAGCTGCAGCCACACACACACACACACACACACACACACACACACACACACACACACACACACACACACACACACACACACACACACACACACACACACACACACACACACACACACACACACACACACACACACACACACACACACACACACACATTTTGTAATGTCATTCTATTTGGCTGATACAACTGCTGAAATAATTTGTTCATTTATTTTAATATTTCTTATCCGTGTTTATAGGATTTCCTGTTGTTTAACTCAGCTATATTGTCAACAAAGTATATTCCTCTATAGATTTCCAAGCTTGAGAAAACTATGGTATGTAAATATGCACATTTTTCAATAAATGTTGGCTGAACCTTCCACTAAAGGAATAGATAGAAATCAATAATCTCGAATTCTGGAAATCCTTTTTCTACAATGCTTTATCTAATTTCCTTCAACAATTGTATATTCCTTAACATCCAGACCATTTTATCAACAATTTACAGAGGACACAAAGCCAGACTTATTGTGTTAACTCATGTTTCAAAACCCTAAGTACTGTACTTGAATGTTGTTATTCTTATAGCATGGATGTTTTATCTGCCTCAATAAATGCAGCTAAGATGAATATAAACATCACAAACATCCTCTTTGGAGGAGTTCTGATATCGTGAAAAATGTATTTGTGTTCAAAATGATCAAATAGTAGATTTGATTGGAGAAAAATGGTTACACTGAAATAGGGCTGAACGATTGATCGATTTAAAATCAAAATCGCGATTTGAAATGATACGATTATCAAATCAATAATCGAAATTACTTAACAAGATAACGTGATTCATCATACTAACAAAGCAAAGCTCATAACTAATCATTTATTTGTACTAGCCAAGCGCAATGCATGGCAGGGGTGGCCAACTAGCTAACCTAAGCTATGGTTAGCAGTATAGCTGTACCTTAGCTATACATTATGAATCTGGCATTTGCAATTTATATGGTCAAAGGTCATAAGACATGCAGCTAATGGTCCAAGACAAAATATAGGAACATGACATATGATATTAATCCTATTACAATTAAAAAATATGGTTACAACCATCATGTCACTGTTTTGGCTCATGATAAACCCGAGCCCAAAGATTGCCATCCTGCAAATAACAGAATGACTGCAGTCTACTTAACAAATACTGATGTCTATTATACGATTTTTTGGAAAATAGCTTCTTTAATTTCATTGTATTGTGTTGTATTGTTCTGTGCGATCCTTTCAAAGGGCTTACCTGACATAGAGGCAGGTAAAATGGCCTGTCCCACCAGTCCCTGTTGCAGTAGATTCTGGTCAAACTGCCCTGTCAGGACTTGGCTAGCAGGGAGGTACATGTTGGGGTCAGAGTTGCCAGTTTGCAGCAGACCCACAGGTTGAAGAGCATCTAAAGCGGCTGACTGCTGGCTCAGGCCCTGCCCCAGAGCCTGCCCAGTCCCTGGGTCTTGACCATGACCAGAGGACAAGGCAGACCGCTTGGATCTGCGACTTTCTAGGCTTGGACGGAAATGGCACTGGATGTGGGTTTTGCGGTGGCCTGAAGTTCTGAATCGTAGTTCACAGAAGGGACATTTGAAGGGCTTGGAGCCTGTGTGGAGGCGCATATGCACCTTCAAGCTGCCCTTTGTAGAGAAGGAGGTGTTGCACATGTGACAGCTGAATAGTTTCTGACCTGCAAAGATAAAGTAAAAAAAGTGAAAGTTACTTGAGGGTTCTTCTATTCTCTGTGAATTTTGGATTTTGTAAGAAGGCAGTGATATAACCGTTCTAAAATATCAAACAGCTTTGAAATTTCAAGGAAAGCGCCTAAAGAGTCTGCAATCAGGTCAGGGAGTTTTTGTAAACTTTTTCTTCTTCCTCTCTTCCTACAGCTAAAAAACGAATTAATAATAAAAGTCAGTTGTTCAAAACAACAGTGGATACAGTAGACCAGGGGTTTTCAAAGTGTGGGGAGGTGAGCCTCCCCTCAGAGAACATAAGAACAGCCGCGCTCCCCCTCCCAATTATTATTGCTGTTATTATTATTATTATTATTATTGTTGTTGTTGTTGCTATAATGCAGGGGTATTCAATTGCATTTCAAAGAGGTCCAGTAAGAGAAAATGTAATTAAATGCTCTGTTTTCGCTGTCTACCTTCCGCCATTTGAAATTACTCCGACTGTTTCTGTGTGTGTGTGTCTGTGTGTGTGTGTGTGTTTGAATCTATCGTGCTGACTGCACCGATTTGATTGGCTGAGTAGCGTCACCTCCTTAAAACATTAAACAATAACTTTTTTAAACCTTTTTATTTTTATGTTTTAAACATATTGTATAAAACTCCCCCACTACTTGGACTATTCCTTGCACCCCTCTAGAATAAGCCCGAATGGTCTCAACCATATTGCATCAGTAACGTGCACTTGTTATTATAACAAGATCGCAAGGACACTGGTAGCGATCGGAACATTTAGTGTTGTTCAGTTTGTGTGTTGTGGAACATGCGTGTCCGTGCATGAAAATATACCACACACCCAATTACAATTGCATGTTCAATTCACTACCCTGGAAGTTAATACAGTTGTTAAAGTTGGAACAGCCTGTGGACAGCCGTTCTTCCTTGCATGTCAGTCGCCGACACCTTCTTACAGAGGACAGGCACATCTAGCTGCAGCACGACCCGTATATTTCCGCACGCCGTGTTCTCAAGACATTTTTTTTTTTAACATTTTCAACATGGTGGATAAATCCTTATATGCTCCCGGCAACACACTGAACGTCAACTTTGCCTCCTTATTACACTCACCCCTACTTTAGTGGGAACAATGAGTCTGCGTCTTTGATGCACACAGGAATAAACGCAGATCATACTCTGGCTGCAGCCTTTACCGGTACTTGCTTTTGATCAAAGTCAATGCGGAAAACCTGCACTCACACAGTTAGGTGAAGGTGAAGGTGAAGGGAATGAGCACTTTTACAGCCTTTTTGGCGAGGTGGGGGAACTCGGTCTCCACAGACAGCCACAAGTGGGCAAGTGTCACTTTACTCGTCTTTTTCTCGTTCTTTTGTGTCTCACGCTGCGCCTCCCCTGAAGCTCTCTGGCGCCCCCCAGGGGAGGCGCGCCTCACACTTTGAAAACCGCTGCAGTAGACTATTCTTCAATTATTCATAACAAAGTTCCAATAAAGTTGTTATCCTAGTTTTGGGAAATAATTTTGCCAGAACCTTGTTTAAAAGACACTAATCCAAATACCCTACTAACAGTAGAATCCCCCTTAACAATTTTGACCTCAACATCAATAAGCAACCAAATATAGTGATCAAACATGAACCTGTATGTGTCTTCACATGGCAGTCCAGGGTAGATTTCACTGTAAAACTCTTCCCACATTCATCACACTTGTAAGGTCTTTCTCCCGTATGGATCCGAATATGCCTAGAAATTGAAGCAGATCAACATAGGTACATTTGAAAGAGGACACATGAGAGATTTAGTGTGAAAAAAGACAGCACACAATCAAGTATTGACACGGTTTTCTGCCCAAGAGCACTCTTCCATCTCATGCCTTTGGTCCCCAGTGCCGTTATAACACGAGCTTGCAAAAGATTGCAAATGCACGGTGACTCCAAATATGAAAACTTAAATAATAAATGTGCCTCACTTGTTTTATCAAAACAACAGTCAAAAATGACTTTCAAAAACATGGGCCAGCTTCTAGAGATTTTAAACATATATTGTGTTTCTGATGTCTGTCATTTCACACTTTAATCAAGAAGTCTGACACATAATTGCACGTGCAAATTGAATGGGGAATTTGGAAAACATACTGACCTTTGTCCAAGGAGGTTTATATGTTATTTATACGGCTACATTAATGTTAAAAGTATAGCCTAAGGGTGTGGGGGAAAAGCTAGATTGACATAAATGACATCTGAGTAGTTTTATAGTATCATGTACAGCGAGAAGGACTATTATAGGTGGAATAAAATAAGACAAAAATGAAATGTTTAATAAATTAATTTGTGGGACAAGAAAACTATTCCAAATAATGTCATCAATGAAATATACATTATATCAGGGGTTCCCAACCTTTATTGTGCCAAGGACCGGCAGATCCATAAAAAAAAAAATCGCGGACCGGTTGTCAATTTTAACTGATTTTAATATTTACTCACCACCAGCAGGTAGCAACAGAGGCTAATTGTATGCAACAGCCTGAACAAATACTAGAACAATATGCATCCAAAACATATTAACAACGTTTAAAAAAGAACCGGTGTCGTTTTTTTTCTTTTTCGGAAAAACGGAAAACCAAAAAACCGACGTTATTCAGTTTTTAAACCAAAACGGGAAAACAGATAAATCAACGTTTTGGTTTTGTTTGTATGATTTACGGATAATCCAGTGAATGCTGGGAAAACGAGGAGAAGGCGCATTAGGAGATGTCCGGTCGCCAGGGTGTGTGTGTGTCTGTGTGACAATGGCATTTGTTTTCAGAAGATATTGTGATAGTGTCGTTCGTTCCGGTGCACTCCGACAGCATTTAGCACTACATCGAGATTAAGATTAAACTAACTTTTTATGGGAACACCCGCATATACCTATAGAGTTAGCCAGATGTGTGTAAATCACTGTTCATGGTCATTTGAAAACAAATGCCGGTGTCGGACAGACACAAACACACCGAACACACAGCTGAGCAGAGCGTGCGCACACACACACACACACACACACACACACACACACACACACACACACACACACACACACACACACACACACACACACACACACACACACACACACACACACACACACACACACACACACACACACACACACACACACACACGCGCCTTGGTGAGGTGACAGGACATCTCCTTCATACGTGTGTAGAGATGTATGTAGAGATGTGTGTGGTTAACACGTAGCAGCCTGCAGTCACTCGCTGTTCTGATGAAGGTAAACACAGCGAAGGCGGTGCGTAAAAAGGCACATCTTTACCCGCTGGTGCTGCACTTCTCCGAGGTGGAGTATACGTCCCGCTGCCTCCTGATGCTGCAGCCATTTCATGAAGTGAAGGAGGTTATCCTTCTATAAAGCAGCTGCGGGCAGCAGATACCCTGAGAGTCCCGGACATGAATTCATAGATCAAGGCAGACTGGTTTATTCTCCTGTTTTGCCCATCCGGTGCTTAAACAAATAGCTCTACACCCCTGGCCGACATGTCCTTAAAATGAAGTCCGAGTGTGAAATATATCTCAAATGATGTATGCACTGCCATTTCCCCACATAAACATAACAGTCTGCAATGAAACGGTTGTCTCCTGTGCGCTCCTCTTCGTACTTGGCGCACCGGTAACTTTCTCGTGCGCACAAGAGGCTGAGACCAGGCTGAGCCGCCGAATCCCTCGGAACATCATAAAAGCCATTTTCAACGGTTTTCTGGTGGAAGATTAACTAAGCTACTGGATTAAATAATATGACTGGTATAGGTGCGGAAAAAAATTAATATATTATCATAAATTATTTTTATATATTTATATATATTAAATATTACGATAAACTCACAGCTATTTCGCGGTACCGGTCCGCGGACCGGGGGTTGGGAACCCCTGCATTATATTACATATTTGGATGAAAATAAGTGTTAATTGATGTCGGCCGATCAGCTTCGAGAGAATGGTTGCCAACCCCTGACCCTGAGAGAATGACCATGAGACTGCATTCTTATTGTATTTATATTCTTGCTGTTATGGTACCATTACTTGGAGCAACCAAAAAAGAATAATTGTTAAGTAAAAACAAACAACAATAATAACAAAAAATTGAAAAAAATGAAGGATATCTTAAACTTTTACAGAACAGCTAAGATAAAAAAGACCCAATTTAAAGCAATGGTTTTAAAATACGTAGCGCTTTCATTCCATTTCATTTTTGCTTCATGATGAGAACGTGAGAGTCGGACATGTTTCTCCTAAAGACCAATAAACAGGAGTGATATTTACCTAACGAGGTCACTGGGCTTCTTGAAGCTCTTGGGGCAGAAATTGCAGCAGTTGGCAAACTTTGGTTCTGTCTCCAGCTCCACAGCCTTGTCTTTGATCTCACTGATGCGATCCCTCTCCGCAGCCGACTGGGCAAGGATCCGCTCCGACACCGAGGCCTCCTCGCCGGGATCTTTCGCCAGCTCGGCCGTCTGCTCCTCAGTGAATGTGATGATTTCTAAACCCTTCCTCTTTAACTTCAGCTCCCCGTCCTCATCCTCTTCTTCTTCTTCTTCCTCCTCCTCCTCTTCCTCAATGTCTTCTCCATCCAGACGCATAACTGAGAGAATTCGGCAAAGGGAAATGTAAACTTTCTAGACAGTGATGTACAAAACAGCTTCTTTCAAATATTTGAAATACAACAATCGATCGGTTAGCATTTTAGCATTTCCCCCTAAATGTCATCTTTTTGGAATATTAAAGTAATGGGATGTATGTTTTCAATGAATGAAAAAGTGTCATGTAATGAAATGTTTAAAGTTGTCTCGGCCTCCTTACTCTGATCCTCCACAGCGTGCTCCTTCTTCATATGCTTTTTACACAGCAGGCTGGTCCTGAAGTTGTCGTCACACACGGAGCATTTGAAAGACTTGATGTGGATGATCATGTGGCGGTTCAGGCTGCCGTTGGTGGTGAATGAGGCGTCACAGACATTACACTTAAAGGGCTTCACTCCTGTCAGCGAAAGAGGAGAGGCAGGGGTTTCAGGACGTTGTATTTGAAACATTTTATACGATTTCACTAAAGAATAAGGTATTACTAAAACTTTCCATATATTTTTGTGATACTGCCAATTAATTTGTTGGTCTTGCTCCAAGTCTCTAAAACACCTATTCCCGCTTTGAATTACATAAATGACATGTTGTAATTTGTTCTCATCCCGGACTCAGGATGGTTTTAGTATCGTGGGGATACAGTCATTTGACAGGCTGTGTCCATGGGGTAAATGGGTGTAATTAACAATGTAAATACGCTGTAATATGAGTCTAATAACACTGGTAGGTGTAAAAAGAAAAAATACGGATGTAATGCGGATGTAACAACAGTGTAATTACGGTGTTATACTGTATAGGTGTTACGTGTGTGATATGGGTCTTATATGGGTAAAATAAGGTTGTTATAAGGGTGTCATAATGGTGTAACATGGGTAGGATAACAGTGTAAGTTGGGTGCAATGTAGAAAAGAGAAATCAATTTCATTTCGTATTCATTTATATGTGATTTGAGGGTTAAGAAATTGAGATACTTCATAAATCATTTTACTCATAAGCCTATTTTGTTCCCATGGCACCAGGGGTATTTATCCCCCTTTGTTTTAAATATCTTATTTAGTCATTTGTAATCGTGGTGTGAATACAATGCATGACCAGGTTTTGGGAGATAAGGTAATACAAATAAATCACAATGTGCCCCTGGCATCTTAATAATTTGATGAAAAAATTAATTAAATGCAATGGAATAGACATATTTAATGGGGGCAATGGCCTACAAAGGCTTTGGGTTTTTAAAAGCTAATTAATTTAGGAGGTCGTTGCTAAGCTTACCTGTGTGCGTGTTGAGGTGGGACTTTAGCACTCCGGCTGATACAAAGGCTCGTCCACAGAGATTACATCTGTAGGGTTTCTCGCCGGTGTGGGAGCGCACATGTTGCTTCAGGTGGCTTGACTTTTTGAAGCCCCTATTACACCAATTGCACCTGACAAGAGCAAAAGAAAGGCCCATTATTGAAACAAATGTAATGATAAACAGAGAGACCAGAGCAGCTAAGTAGTCTGTAGAGTCAGATGAGACATTTGGTGAATGCAGCTTTAAGCTGATGTCACAGAGAAAAACAGCCTGGGAGAATGATTTAAATTCTTTATGCGCTTTGTCTCCAAGGTCCCTTCTTATTAAAGAGACAAATCCTGAATCTAAAGGAAAATGTGGATTTGATGGATGATACAGAGGACTAAAGGTTATTTTTTAAGCCAAATTGGTTTCTACTTTTGACAAAAGTTTTGAGTAGCTTCGACCTGATACCTTGGCAAACCCAGTGTATCCCTGTGCAGTGGCGGTTCTAGAACATTTTACATGGGGTTGCAAGGGGGGGGCAAGAGGTCATACCAGGGTGGCATGGGAGGGCGGACAGTACGTGGTATTTTATACTGTATATAACCTATTTATTGTTAAATCATGCCCTAACACAAGTGTTCTTAATTCACAAGAGAAACAAGGTGTTCAGATAAACAAACTCAAATATAGTATAAAACAGCTCAATACTCATGATACCCTAGAATTCTGTTTACTGTAAGTACAGTAAAAGTACTTAGTTATAATGAAGTACACAAATGACATCACCCATCTCTTAAGAGAGCTAAAGGTGACCTGTGCAGCAACACATTTCAATAAATATTTGATCTTTATATTTGTCAATACCAAGAGCTGCTAGATTGTAGCGGCGGAGTAATTCTCAGGTATTTGAGCTATAATATAACTTTACATTAGACGGTGCTTCTACCCAAAGCAACTCACAATAAGCGCAATTAACCATGAAGATACATAACAGCAAGAATACTGCAAGTACCTTCAAATAAGCCAAACTTTTATTAAATATTGGAATGGCCAAGGTGCAGTGGAAACAGGTGGGTTTTACATCTCCGACGAAAGATGTGTAGAAATTCTGCAGTTTTTATATCAATGGGGAATATGACTAGAAAATGACAACCAACTAGCAAAAAGGATTGTTTGGTCGTGACAAAGATACAAAAATAAAAGAACAGACAAGCAAATTCTATGTCCAGATTTGGGTCCTGTCGGACAGAATACAATTGCAGTGCAATCAGGCTTAATTGGTGGAATGAGTGCCTCTCCTGAGTAACCTGGAGTTTACCGAACTGCTCTCAAAGTAGTCTGAGAGCATGTTGAAAAATATGTTCTGGTTTGGAGAGACATAATTGAACTCTTTGGGCCTGAATGGCAAGCGCTTTACTTTTGCATGGCATGGTTGCATCAAGTAGAAAAGACAGCATGTTTTAGGATCTGTGAGAATCAGGGGACTCTGAGGGAAGCGTAAACACGATCAGAATAGGCAGAGATTCTCTTTTCAGTACAACCAGAATCCATCAGGCAAGAACAGAGCAGAAGCAGATTCCGCAAAGTCACAGAGTGTTCTTCAATGGCGCAGTAAATGCTGGACATATGCTTGCTTTTTTCACCACGGGTTCACATAAAAGCTGGCATCCTAAGCGGAAATGTCCACATAGATACGGATGAACATGTCTTACTGGAGGATTCCACTGAATGACACCAGAAAACTTGTACCTTGCATAACTTCCAGTTTTGCATGATTTAAACAATAAACATAAAGTATTATTTTGCGAAAAATGTGTCTCAGTGAACTGGAGATTGATAAAAAAATAAAATGCCTAGCTAAGTAAGGTACCTTATCCTGTGACTGGTGGGGAAAACACACTATCGGCGCTGCCCACATTCCATTTCCCCCAAACGTTGCTTACATTTTATGTCCTTTATGTCAAATTATCAAATGTTATTTAACATACTGTCAACAGCTTTTTTGATTAGCATTAGCTGTAGCATTTAGCATTTCTTCCAAAATGTCCCCCATTGTTTTCGTTGATGATGTGCCTACCGACCCCTGATCCTGTCACATCAACATAATGCACTACAGATTATGTGTGATTATCTTTAGTGTTCATTTCTGAGGATGTAAAAACCAACGCTCCGATCAGACGCAAGCAGACATCATGCATATGCGTAGTGAAAGCAATTACGGTACATCACTGTCTTAAGACCTAAGGATCACAGTTTAATAATGTAATGTATATCAATTCTAAAAGAATCTGTAAGCAAATAAGATAACAGTTCCGTTGAGAAATGAAGGTGGGCATAAATGGCAGAGGAATCTCTTTTGATCTTTTTCTCCTTACGGTTGCTTTTACAAAAGGTTGGGAATAGAAATGTGAAGAGGTTTTAGCAAGAAGTAAGTCAGAAGTAAACCTGTAGGCTCTCTTGCTGTTGTCCTCGCTGTCATCCTGGTAGTCCTGTGTTTCAGTGCTCAGCTGAAGCTCATCCTGAGTGCTCTGTTGAAGAAGTCCATTCGTCTAGATTTCACAAGATAAATCAACAAAATCACCTTATCGCAGAATTAAATATATTTAGGAGGCATTATTGGTTTTGGTCAGTTTTAGCTAGGTGAACCAGAATATGAATGCACATTACATTGAGAAACAATTAAACCATTTCAGGGGGTATTTCATTATTAAGGCGTATTTTTAATCATTTGAGAGAGCCGGATGCACTTTTCCCCAGTTGCAAGTTTTTATGCTAAGCTAGGCTAATTAATCCCTATCTCCAGTAGTGTACTTAACCCACATATATGAGAGTGGTATCAATCTTCTTGTCCTAATGAAGCATGCATACAAACAAAAAAGTCCAACATGTCTTTATCAATAGTTGTGTACTGCTCAGCTACTAATCAGCTTTCTAAGTCCAGGTGAGTGTAAGGGCTTATTGGGTATAGTCCCAGGACTCACCACTTCAGCACTGGAAACGTGGAGCAGGTTGGGGGGGTGATAGCTGGAGGACAGGGCCTGGGACTCCAGGGTGCTGGAGTCCTGCAGCTGCTGGACGCTGGAGAACTGGGCCTGACTGTAGCTAGATTCAGTGATGGTGAAGCCTGAGGGGAGAAGACAACGAGAAATCAGTATCTTCCGCTATTTATCACATCTCAAAGAAGAATTTATTGAAGAATAAAATGGCAAATGGCAAATAATAATTCAAAATTGTTTAGCTTTTAAACTTTGCAATTCCACATATGTGAATACTAGACACTATGCACATGAAACCCAAGGGGTTGATATAACCAATTAGGCCACAAACTATGGAAGGCCATAGGGGACTTTCTTGAAATGATAATGTAGACTTCAAAATTAAAGGTAACTCCACAAAGGTATAATCTTCAACATAGGTATGTATTGTTAAAGTAGATACATTTTCCTTTTCACATGGGCCTTTTATGACCATACTAAATTAAATTGAAACTGCTTTATGAGATTGCATTTTCAAATGCAATCTTGGACTGAATCTTGAAAACTGCATTTCAAATCGTGACAATTTCTTTCTATGCAAAAATGGAAAAAAAAGCTGCATTAATTACACTGCATTTTAATATTCAAATTGATTCAACATTATAATGTTGAACCCTGTACTGACTCAACATTAAGAGTTAAACAGCTTTTTAAATGTACATTTCGTTATTATCATAGAATGCCAATATAAGTATTTAAAAATGCTAATAGGATTATTGCATTTTATTTATAACTCAACTAACACATTCATTTTAAGAAATGATGATGGTACTGTGGAACAAAATGTTGATTTTCAAGTGTAAATGTACATTTTAATAATGTCTCCTAAAGGCTTCCATACCTAAAAACTACCTACTAATGCTTTATACAAGGCAGTGGTAAACCGGAGGTTAAACATGGATTAGCAGCTCAAGAGCCCTCCTGCCCAGGCACATGTGCTTTGTGCCCTTGAACATTTGGTAGCACTGCAGGCAATATGAGAGTGATGAAATACCCGGTCTGCTCTGGACAGATAACAAGGTTGTTGAGCCCCAGGAGAGAGCAGGAAGGCTAGATCTGCCAGATAGATTTTTGCTGTCAGAGTGCGATGATGCCCACTGCTCTCATCCACAGAATCCAGGCTGCCAAAACAGTCAGTTGGCATGATGGGAACTCTGTGAGTTAGTCATTTGAGTGAAAGTAGTAACCATATATTTGAGAGCCCTACACTGGATTTAGAGTTACACAATGGAAAGGGAAGAAAGAACATAAAACATCAGGGAAAGTGCCTCTATATCTCCTGTTTATCTCAGATTAGATTAGATTATATATTATATATATTTAATTGTCATTTTGCACTGGAGTACAAAAAATGGCTATTAGCATCTAACTCTTTTACAACATTAACTGTATAGTAATTTTCTCCTTTGATTTTTGAGTGAAACTGACAGTAAATGTAATTCATCAATCATTTTTGATGTCTTTCTAATTATAATCTGAACTAAAAGGGTTATTACTAAGGTCGTTTGTTGAGGCCAACTTCGCACGTTGCACAATTCACTTTTAATGGAAAAAAAACTAAGGGGAAATTACTGGAACGAAAAGGGACCTTCTACAACTCATTGTCTAGTCGCTTTCCTATCAGAAACCTTTGTTTTACACAATGAGATATGACAGTATGCACAGTTCTCCTTAATGGCATTTGTTTCAATGTAGACATCTCACTCATGCTACCATGAAAACAGGGGTTGCACAAGTAACCTCGTTTTTTACTTCATTTTCCTACATAAACGCATATTTGATTGATTATTTTTCATGCAATACAGACATCACAGATTACAAATGTAATCTCTGGAGGGAAAAGCATGCATGAGAGAAATAATTGAGATGTCAGTTTGTACCTTGTGTTAGAGCTTGCTGGTCAAAGGAAGGCTGAGGAAGTGTTGGTGTCTCAAACTGGCTGATGTTTTGAGGCAACGCATGTTGGGTGGTCACATACGAGTCTGTCAACAGAAGAAGAAAAAGATGCAGGTTAGTCTTAAACTCGCAAGGTTTAAGATGGATAGGAATGGCATCTTAACTCTATCAATTAAATTATTCTGGTCATAATTCTCTTATTTTTCTGAACCTTGGTGGTGTTTACCCTATTTACTTCCACGGGTCATTATCCATAAAAACAATGTCTTGCATGTACATAATCGCTTATATTAACTACATAATCCATCATGCATTATCATGGCAACTACAAAGTAAAAAGGGGTCCATTATTTAAAACATCCATCCATCCATCCATCTTCTCCCGCTTATCCGTGGTCAGGTTGCGGAGGTAGCAGTTCCAGCAGAGAGCCCCAAACTTTCCTTTCCCTGGCCACAACAACCAGCTCTGACTGGGGGATCCCAAGGCGCTCCCAGGCCAGTGAAGAGATATAACCCCTCCACCTGGTCCTAGGTCTACCCTTTGGTCTCTTCCCAGCTGGACGTGCCTGGAACACCTCCCTAGGGAGGCGCCCAGGGGGCATCCTAACTAGGTGCCCGAACCACCTCAACTGGCTCCTTTCGACGCGAAGGAGGAGCGGTTCAAATCCGAGTCCCTCCCGGATGACCGAACTTCTCACCTTATCCCTAAGGGAGACACCAGCCACCCTGCGGAGAAAACCCATCTCGGCCGCTTGTACCCGCGATCTCGTTCTTACTAACTCTTCTTTTATTTTGTTCGTTTTGTTGTGTTTTCTTCTTCTTCATTTGTTGTTTAAGGGCGGCTGGCAAACAGATTGTAGGCGCAATACC